TCACATTTTTTAAAATATATAAATTTTATGACTATGAAACGAACATTCCCTTAATAATATGTAAAAACATACTTATGGAAAATATTAATTTTTCTTTTCACTTTTGATATTTGAAAGTAATTTAAAAGGTAAAATAAAACAAGTGTTTATATTTTATAAAACTATATATTTTAGTCAAAATCATAAAATAGAAATTTTAGAATTAAATAACCAAAAAAAACAAAAAACTCCTACTTTTTAAACTTGTTTTTGGCAATGCTGATGTATTAATAGCAAGCCAATATTATTACGTTCACTAAAATTTGAAATTGTTAAACCTTAGCCAAAAAGGTATGATATTTATTACGAAATAAATTAATGGTTAATGATTTTTGAGTAAAATTGACGTGTACGTTTTGTTGTAAAGCTTCAATAGGAATGTTGAAGGCGATGGGTTAAAGGAGGATGGTGAAGTGGTTGAGTCCGTTACAACAACTATCATTAGGAAATGGATATGGAGTCTAAAATTTGGTGATTAGTCTTTGGTGAAATTAACCAATGATTGAGGTGGGGTAACCATGAAAAAGTATCTTAATGGTTTAGTACTTTAGTTTAATGTCTCTTTTATGTCAAACAAAATTTTATATTTATTTTGGATTCAAAATAAATAAATTTATTTCATGGGTTATTTTTTATCAAAATGGTGTGCTGCCACACCCAAAATATTAAAAAAAAAAAAACAGTGATATCCACAGATTCAACCCATCTTTATAAAAAGTAATTTCTATAGTTATGATCACTCACGTGTCTTCACAGAAAAGAGCATTGGAGGTGCCTAATTGGACTTTGATTCAACCCTTGCAATCACCATTGTTGCTTCTGAAAAGACCACCATAGGTAGAAATTCTAAGGTTTCCTAAAGAAGATCCTTTTGTATTACACTTTAACCAATTCCTTAAAGGAGGTTTTCAGATGACTTTAAGAATCCTATGGACCTTGGAATTGTGGGTAGTGATGTTGAAAGCTTTGAGGATTACACAATCTTGCATTGAGTGTCTCAATAGTTTCATTGGTGCGGTTTCCAAACAGATGAACATCGGCATGAAATCAAAGATAAAGTCAATTCAAAAGAAGGCTTGATGTTGTTGAATCTACAATTGTTCCTGACAAGCTAAATGGTATTGAAAATATGGACTGTAGTTGAACATATTACCAGTTTGACTTAAGGATTCTAGCTTCAGTTGCAGGCATCCAAGATTGAAGAGAAAGAGAAGAAGTTGATGCCTTAATTGATGATGGATTAGAACTAGTTCTATATTTTCTCAATAAACCTTTAATTGATAAAGCAATGGACTGCAATTTTTAGGTACTTGTAACACAAACTATACATAGAAGGCATATTGCATCCTCTTTTCTGAAGGTTATCATGAATAAGCATCTTTCTGTGAATAAGCCTCAAAACCATGAAAGACTTAGCAAGAGGAATGAGTGAATGACCATGTTCCAGATGATTTTAGGGCATAACTTTTTAGTAGCAAGAGGGACAAGGAAATGACATGCCTCTTTGAAGAGACAAATCCCCATATACAAATTTAGCTATACAAATTTGTCGAGGAATCTAGTCTCCGCACATAAGGTAGGTTTTTCCTTCTCAAATAAAATGTTTCCATACGCAAGAATTATAGATGGGAATTTCTTGGTACATCTCTTATGGGTGGGGGAAAACCTCTGAAAACCCGAAAATACTCTTCGAAGATGCATCTCCGAACGCACCCTAAATCAAAGTGTTTCGAATATGCATTTTCGAAAACAATCTATTTGGACTTGGATATTATATTTAAACATGCAATGATATTTTCGGAGATGCATCTCCGAAACATCCTGATTTGGTTCTTTCAGAGATGCATCTCTGAAACCTGGACAGTGATTTTTTTTAAAATCATCAATGTGTTGATAAATAATTAGATGAAAATGATAATAAAAATGCAAATAAAAAATGATAAGACATAAAAACGATGATAGACACAATAAATTATTTAAAATTAAAAAAAAAAAATACAATAATTATCCATAAATTATTCTGAAATAAAAAAAGGCTTGCGTATGCCTGATCCTCAATCTCTGGTCCCTCCTTTGTCTATTGTATCTCGCTCCACTCTCTTCCCCCAACCATCGGCTCTACAATGGCCACTGCCTCAGGACTGCACCGACAAATTCCTGATGACATCTCCTTGTGCCACCTCTCGACAAAGGCCCCGTGCATGCTGTGGTTGATGGTGTTGTAACCGGAACAACAAAGGTCGGAAAGTCCGGAGGTAAAAATGGCCTCTCTGAACCAAGCCTCATCCGAGTGATATAGCTCGGATATCTTCTGTGCATGGTTCATACACTTTAGTGGTCATCGTTCCTTTAAAGATAAATAATTAATATCAATTTTAACATTTTAGTGCGTAAATCATTAAAATGAAAAGTGTAACAAAAACTAATATAATTGTCCCTCTGAAACATATCGAGCGACATGATCGTTGTAATATCTCCGAAAAACCTGCGACTTCCATAACCAAAGCTTCAACCTAACAGCATCATTTTTACACCAAAATCCAATTTTTACACATAAAAGCAAGCTTTTTACAGGTTATACATAATATAAACAACTTAAAATAGAAATGCAAAGATTAAAAGGAATTGGAGAACTTACTCAAATTTGAAGCTTTTAGAGTTGTTGAAATTGAGAGTGAAGTGAATTGTAACAAGTGCAAATGTGTAGACAAACTTGAATGAGTTTTGAAAGTAGATATTTTGGAGGTTTTTGGGGTGTTTCATAGTTAGAATTTGGAAGAAATGAGAACAAGGGGTGATTGTTCGTATATATTACTGTAATGCCCTAATTCGGAGATGTATCTCCGTAACACCCCTAATTTGTTTTGGCAATACATCTTCGAAAATATCCCAGAAAAATAAAAGGTGGTGCGTTCGAAGATACATCTCCAAATTCTGAGGGTAAAAATGGAATTTTTCCAGAGGTGGCTAAGAAGGTGTAAGGGTGGAGAAAGAAATACCCATTATAGATTGTATTTCTAGCCATTTATTTAAGAAACCCAAATTATGTTTGTTATTATGATACTATGTTGTCCCATTGGTCGAACATAATTAACTAAACATGATAACATTAAAAAATGTGAGTAAAATCTAGCATCACACATAGGGGTGGAAATAGGCATGGCAAAAAAACCCAGACCCGCTGGGCCCCGCCCGGACCCGCCCCGAAATTAACGGGGAAAACTCGGCTAAAACGGGTACGGGTGCGGGGGCGGGTAAAACCCGGTTTCTAACTACGGGTGCGGGGGCGGGGGCGGTAAGACACTGAGACCCGCCCGCACCCGCACCCGCCCCGCCCCGAATAATCCAATTACTATAATAACCTTGTTTTAATTATTTTTATGTTACTTTTATTTTCTCAGCTTCTTATATTTTGTTCCATGTTGTTGGAATGGTTATTTTGTTCCATGTTGTTGGAATGGTTCTTTTGTTGATTGTATTGTTTTAATTTTGTATTTGTACTTTGCAAAAAAATTGTTGGTTGTTGGGAGTGATTTATACTTTGATATATTGAAAGATTACACTCTTTTAATGAATCACAAGTTCACAACCAATTATAGTTGATTGAAGGGTTATGATAGAAAAATATTTGGAATGGTGTTTGAATATTAAATCCTACAATTATTTACTCAAATCAATGGCGAATTTTGTATTTTTAATGTATTTGTTAATGCTGTCTAGGAAATTTGTGAAAAAAATAGAT